TTCCAGGTAATTTTTAAAGAATTACCTATTTAATTGAAAGGCAGAGTGACTGAAAGCTGATGGAGAGAATCTTACAATGGCTGGTTCTCTTTCCAAGATGTTTCCCCTAAGAAGTCAGTGCCTCCTCCAGCTCAGCTTCACTTGCTTGTCCAGTAAACACATGAACGTTTTTCCCTTGCTATCTCCCTCTGATTTCAAGCTTCTTTTATTTGTTCACTTGTCTTATTGTAGACAGTGATAAAGTCACCCAGCTGGTGGACCAGCATTCTTGCGTATTAGGGAAGCGCCAGTCTTTGACTCCCGTAATGCCATCATCAATGAAAGCTGGAGGTTATTTGGTGCTCATCTTGGGAAATGGACTCCTAGTTCCTTCTTCATGAGGAAGAAAACTATTACAGCCTCAGGGCATGGGTTAGATTAATATATCTGACTGCATTTTCAAGAAGAATTTCACAAAATTCGTGACAAATTTTGTGGTTATGATCCTAACTATTCTTATAGAAAGGACCATGAAAATCCTGTGTGAATTTCAACTGGCATTTAACTGTGATAATTCTCTTTTGAATTAATTTTTTTTCTTGAATTTGGTTTTGTAAGCTTCATCTGTTTTCAAAGCTATGGTATCTGATGCATAAAAATTTAGAACAGTTATATGTTTCTCATGAATTCGTTTCTTTATCACTTTAAGTGGCCTTCTATATTTCTAGTGATTCTAGTTTCTTTCATTAATATATCCCTTTCTTATGTCAATATGTACATGTTATAAATTTTGGAGTTATTTTATTATAAAATTCTTATGTCTTTACAAGAAATAAGTCTCTTACAACAATTAGTTGAAATTTAAAATGAAAGATGTTAAACTTGGAGATAAGACAAGTTTTTTAGTTCAGGAGACTGCAGAAGAATTTTAAAATACCTTTAAAAGGTACACATTGACAAAAGGTATTTGTTGATGCAAGAAAGGGATGTACTAATAAAAAAAAACCTAGGATCATTACAAATAGAGAAGTTCACTTAAAGTGATAAAGAAATTCATGAGAGATATATAATTTTTCTAAATTTTTTTTGCATCAAATACCGTAGCATTGAGAACACATACACAGGGGAAGGTTTATATGGAAAATTGTTTTTTTAATACTAATGAGACTAGCATTTTTCACAAAGGTATAAGCTTATATATGAGACAAATGTTTCAGTTAACAGAAATGTTACGAGAGGAATTTAAATATATGTTTCCTTTAGGAGTAATAATTTAATATTCACAAAACCAGTATTTTAAAATGAGAATTGGCTGCATTTACTCTGTTTCTTTCAATATTTACTCTTTCTGAAGGCCTATGCTGTATGTTTATCTTTATTGTTCTAATATACCAGATTATTTTACTGTTACAGTAATTTTTCTAATGGCTTTTCTGAGAGTTTCATATATACAACAAAGAGCTGTAAATAGGTGTATTCACTTTATCTTTAGGGGCACCTTCTCTCCTTTTTATTTCTTAATATCTCCAAAAATATTAAATAGTGGCCAGAATGTGAAATATACTTTATTCATTGCTGACAGTAATGGAAATTTCTCCAATGTTTTCTATTAGGTAAACTGCAAGCTTTTAAAATTGAAATGCATATTTTATTGTATTAAAATTATTACTTAATATGCATCACGAATGAACACTTATTGCTGTCAGGTATGTCTTGACATCTATGGAAATGTTATGATTTTTTCCCTCATCTGTGTTAATATGCTGAATTATATTAAAATTCTTTCTAATACCGAATTACTTTATATGCAAGGCATAATTTTCCTTGGTCACTACATGTTATTTTCAACATAAAATTGAATTCCTTTTGTTAAAACTTTAACATATTTACATACATGTTCACAAATGTATTCATCTGTAGATTTTTATGCAGTGTATATTTATAACATGGTTTCAATGGTATAGTCATTAACTTCTGAAAAATAATTCACAAACTGATTTTTTTTTTCATGGAACAGCTTACACAGCTATAATTATCTGAGTGTTTCGGGCTAAATAGGAATCGACCATACTATTCTTTTTTCTCCTTTTCCTGCTTCTCCTCCATTTTCCTGAAAAGTAGAAAGGAGCTGGGAGATGGCGTGGCTATCTTTTAATCTTGAAATAACAGTAGGAAGAAAGGGACTTCTTAAAGTTTTCAGAACAAAAACCACAAAAGAAACTGTGGCCTATTGTTGACATGCATATTCTTGAATTTTCTGCCTCTGCACTTCTCATTTTGTAAAATATGTCACCCTTATTTAGTCTGATCCCTGTTACTGGGTTTTTATGATAAATAGTCAAACATAATACCTATCTAGTATATGTAATTTCATTTCTATTCTTATGTGACAACAATCTCACCTTTCTAGCTTTCTGTTTCATTCTCGATCCTTAGTTTGCCTATAGGGACAGATTCCTCTTCTCTGGTTGGGTACTTGCGGAGTTGACTCCTATTCACTGCATTAGGTTTCCCTCCACCATTCCCCTGGAAGAGTAGCCGTTTGCTTACCTGGATCCCTCCTGAACTTTTCAAAACAGCATTCTATGGTTCAAAATGCAAAAACTGCAGCTTTGGAGCGTGCATAGAGATATTCTCTGGTATTTTCACAAGGATTTGTTTATTTGACAAACAAAATAACAGAGGGAATAGGGTGAGGTGGAAGAAAGAATGAGAGAGACTCTGCCATCTACTGATTCAGCCCATCTGGATCTTCCACATGGATGTCAGAGATCAGGTACTTGGACCTGCAGCTTTCTCAGGTATATTAGCAGGGATCTGGGTTGGAAGTGGAACAATCGGTACTTGAACTGGCACTCCAACATCAGATGCCACGTAAGAAGCAGCTTAACCTATTGAACCACAATCTCAGCTTCTTATCTAAGTTTGGATTCTGTTATCATAAGAAAACACACAGAAATATTTAGCCTGAAGTCATTTTATTCCCTACATAGGCTTGTTAGGTCACTTGCAAGTACAATGGTGTGAAAGTGGTGAAAGTAATAGTAAAAAAAAAAAAAAAAAAAGTTATTCCTTTGAAAAGCACAGTTAACAGAGAGAGGCCCAACAGTGGGCCAGGCTGAAGTCAGGGGCCAAGAGCTTCACCCAGCTCTCCCAAAGGGGTTTACAGGACCCTGGGTCATCTGCTGCTTTTTCAGGCACATTAACAGGAAGATAGACTGGAAGTGGAGCAGCTGGGGCTTGACTTGGTACCTGTTTGGGATGGCAACATTGCAGGTGGCAACCTAACTTGCTGTGCCACAGCACTGGCTCTTCCAAAGCAACATTTTATATAAAGGAAGAGGTGGTAAGTAACAGACAGTTGCCCTGGGCTCCTTCAATCAAATTTGTGGAAAATATACATTTCTGATCTTATCAGTTGAGTATCTTCACAACCAACGTATCCAAATTAGCAAACAAAAACCCAGCCAGGAGAATATACTTGTGTAGAGTGAAAGTCTTCTCACTTAAGTGCTTGGGTGATTGCTTGATGGTTTTGGTTCGGGAAAGGCTGATTGATATACAGTTCTTGCAGCCGAAGGACATTTCTGTCCTAATAAGTTCCCTAACAACCATTTTAGGATGAGTGCTTTAGGATACTTTCATGACGGAAACCTCACTGTAAGGCAAATTAAAAATTATAAATACAATTTTGGTGAGATATGATGGTGAGGTGAGCATTTTAACTTCTTTTTTTTTTTTCAAATGCTAACTTATTCCTAGAGTTTGAACCACCTCTTCGGTATCCAACAGCTGACATTAGCCGTACTTAGTTAGTATCTAATTCAGGACAAGTTCTTTATTATATAAATGAGTAAAAGTGATTATCAAAGATACTACTTCAAAAATTGCTACTCCTTGCCAAAATATATAGGTAGTTGACAAATGTCGCAATATTATTGGTGGATAATATCTCCCGAAATAGTCACTACAGAGGTAAAGAAAGTTGGCGCTGTTCTATATAGCAAGGAAAACTTTGGGCATGGCAGCAAGCATCAATCTGGCCTATGATACTGGTCACAGCAGGCTATGAAGACAAAGCTACAGGTCATTCTGGACAAGCTCAAACGCCTGCAGATGTCAGGCAGGTGGAGTGTATAAACAAGATGAGCCCCAGGTGCAGGTAAGACATGTGAGCATACACAGGCATGTGTTGGTGTCCATTGTGCACGTGTAGGTGGCACTGCACTGCACTGAGCTGAGGATGAAGTACCTGGCTCTTTAAGCACCTGAGATTTAGTTCTGGTAGAGCTTTCCATTTTGGATCTAATAATATTGTATGGTTGATTTTTTCAAGAGAAGGTAGAAATTAGTATTTTCCTATGACAACTCCAATTTTTCCATGGCAGCTCAAAATGTTAAGGCAATGGGCAGACCATATCGATGTGCCAGATATCACCTGTGGGCACCAGCTTAGGACAAGGATATATTTGGAAGGAGTTGGGGCATGTAGAAGGGGATCACGTACGGAGAAAACAAACTATAATAAAGAAGCTTGAAAACTTTATTTAAAATTATCTTTGATATATTGAAAGCTGAGCATTTCTATAGCAAAGGTTTCAAGAAGGATATTCTTTTACCAGTTTTTCCACTGTGGCTACCAATTTTTCCCTTCTACCAATGTAAAGCAGACACAGCATGATTATAATTTATGTTTACAAATTATATCATAGAAAAATAATTTGGATGCTAGCTATAAACAGGTTGAATATGTAATCCAAAGTAAGAAAATAAGAGGATAAAACAGTTTCAGATTGATATTGTAGTAATATTTTGAGAATGGATTATTTTATTTACTATCTTTTGGCTACCCAGTGCTAAAAGAAAATGTATTTATTGGGATGCAAAGCAATATGGCTTCAGAATTCACCCTTGAATTTATAGAACTTAAAAATTCAAACATTCCAAGTGGCTGGCAGGTGCTGTTGTAAAGATGGTCTTGACATTGTAGCAATATTCTAAGAATAGATTATTTCATTTACTATCTTTTGGCTACCCAATGCTAAAAGAAAATATATTTATCGGCATGCAAAGCAGTATGGCTTCAGAATACACCTCTTGAATTTATAGAACTTAAAAATTCAAACATTCCAAGTGGCTGGCAGGTGCTGTTGCAATAATGGTCTTGACTAGTGATGGATTCACTTCCTGGAGATGAGAAAGAAACGACAAAAATTTAACACAACTACTGTAACTGTAACTGGATGATATCACTAGCTTATACGGAAAATAATTCAGTGATTTATTTTGATAAAATGTGTTTACCAAGCCCTTCATCTGTAAATATCTCAGTCTTTTAGACTCTTAAGATATTTTCACTTACATATGGCTTTTCTTAAGGTCTTCCAAAGATACACAGTTACATGAATAATTTGTATAAAGCAATTAAAATCTATCCACCATCAAAATAATAGGTGGAGTGTTTGGTGTTTAACTTTTGCTAGTAGTTTATTAAAGCTCAAATATCATATACACCAGCAATTCATCTTTGTGTTGAAGTTTAGCAATTTAATAAGACAGTAATATGTAAATGCAAAATTTCTCGTTTCACTCATATGTGTGCTTCTGGCATCTTGTCTCTCATAGACACTGAGATATGTTTTTGGGATGAATTAGTAATTGGTTACAAACTCTAATTTAAAAAAAAATAAATAAAATGAGCTCTGGAATGATTTAAACATGCAAAATTTTATTATGTGATGGGACAATTAAGCTTCCCCCCCCACACACACGTGAAGAACAACTTATAACAGAAAATGTTTCTATTTATGCAAGTTTTGATGGTTTTTATAATGAAGTAGAAAGCAATCACCTGTCAGTGATTTTGGTCTGAAGCAACCAGTTTATAAAGTCCCTTGTGGCCAGACTATCGAGAAGCGCGTTCATTTCATCTGAGAAAGAGCCATCGGCATGTCTACGGCGTAGCTCTTCAACAATGGTCACTTCTTCCGGAAAACTGAAAAAATGTGGGTTGAAGTTGGCAGTTATTAGGCGCTTTGTACACATGCACGGGGATTGTTTACTACTGCTAACAAGCAGTAAAGGATCTTATTTATAGAAAGCCTACTATGAAAAACTTCTATAGAAACTAAAAAAAAAGTTGCAGAGCTGGGCCAGGCACGGTGGCCTATTGGCTAAAATTCCTTGCCTTGCATGTGCCAGGATCCCATATGGGCACGGTTCTAATCCCGGTGATTCGGCTTCCCATCCAGCTCCCTGCTTGTGGCCTGGAAAAGCAGCAGAGGACAGCCCAAAACCTTGGGACCCTGCACCCACAGCATGTGAGACCCAGAAGAAACTCTAGGCTCCTGACTTCAGATTGGCTCAGCTCTGGCCGTTAAGGCCGCTTGGGGAATGAATCAGCCAAGGGAAGATCATCCTCTCTGTCTTCCCTCCTCTCTGTATATCTGACTTTGCAATAAAAATAAAATAAATCTTAAAAAAAAAAAAGGTGCAGAGCTGGGAAGGAAAACTAAACCTGTGTTTTCAATATTCCAGGTTGCTTCAAAGATTTTAAATATTGAAATATGGAATCTATTGTGACAGTTTTTTGGAGCTTCCTTGCAAAAGACAATATTAAGAAATTAGAGCTTAGTCTAAAATCTACACTAGATTTTCTTTTTGGCTTGATGCCATGGAATTGGGTTTCCCCTTTAAATATTATAAAATGTCCCCCAAGTACAAGCAACCACTTTACTGCTGATTTTCTAAGTTTGATTGTGGGAAGCGGTATTTAATACAGTAAAGACACCACTAGGGATGCCCACGTCTCATATTAGTGTGCTTTGCTTTGAATCCATGCTCTGATCCAGATTCTAGCTTCCGGCTAATGCATATCAGGGAATGACTTTGCTGCTTGAGTTCCTGAAAACCCACACAGTAGGCCTGGATCGGGCTGCTGGCTCCGGGTGCTAGCCTGAGTCAGCTCTAGTTGATGGGTATTTAGGGACTAATCAAGCAAATGGGAGCTCTTTCAATCTACTCGTGTCTCTCAAATAATAAAGTAGTAACACAAGTTTGAGTGTGAATATTGTCAAAATCTGGACAAATTCTATTTTCTTTTTCTCGTAAGGTGTCTTTAAATCTTGGTTTACTTTAAATCTGATTTAAAAGACCAGGGTGACACATGAATTTTCTGACTCTCATATTTTAAATGTCAATCAAAATAGTCACAAAAAATGACATAGCTCAAGGCCTTGTCTGTGTTAAGATCCTAACAAGCAACTAAGCATCTTAGTCTCATTTTCAACTGTGACTCTTTAATACTTATGAAAATGATGAATTCTGGAGATATGGTTAATTGTATAGATGTTTCTACATCTACATATGTTGTCATTTTATTAACCCATCATGCTTGGTCCATGTCTTCATTATCACACTTTATGTAAATATTTGTTAATGCCTAAATATATGTTGATCACATATGTGAATAAAGTTTTAGTTAAACATAGAAATCTTTAAAGTTTTCAGCACCATTAATTCTATTTCTTTATCTTCAGATTTTCCTGGGATAGTCATGCTTTCAGCTTGTTGTCTCACTGTAGTTTCAAAAGATACCCTGATTTCGATAGGAAGCGAATGGCTAATTATAGGACAATTATAACGTGGGATAAAAATGCAATCCTATTAGACTCTGTTATTGATACTGGCTACCGAAGATAAAATAAGCTCAACTTCTGCGTACTGTTCATCCCCAATAGGAGTTATTTCATTACTTTGTAAGACTATACTAGTTGCTTCTGTAATCCAGATTTATACAGAGACAACTATAGTCTTAAATTTTCTGCATCAAAGAGAAAAATGTCAAATAAGATTGTGCAAACTTACTCTCGCCTTCCTCGGCCTTTCACCAGCCAAGCAATGAATTCCTTGGCAGCCTGGCCTTCCAGATAGGAACTTACATCACTGGTAAAGGTCCCTTCAGCATGTCTCTCAAACTCATCGTGGCGTTTGGCAATGTTATTCCTGAAAGAAACGTGAAAGTTAAATTGAAGCTCTGTCTGTGGCAATATGGTTCTCAGCTGTGGCAACTAAGGGCTCAGGATTCTATGAGAAGGGGGTTGGGGTGTTTGGGAGAAGAGGGTGATGAGGGGATTTGTCTTGAAGCCACATTAATTATCGGGATTTGAGATTGGTAGAAGGACTTGACAACATTTAAGAAGGAGCTATATAGTTCCCCCTCCCTTCACAGCCTTCCCATTTCCATCTCTGCCGCTGGTTGTTATAACCGCAATACTTTTTACTTTACTCTCAATAGATAAGAGTTGCCCACATGTTTAGTGACTCACAGGCAAGGCAGTGTTTGGTTCAGTTAGTACAGGGTCAGAGTCAGTTAACTGATTCAAAGGGAACGCGAAGGACCATCCTGAAATGTGGTCCAAAGGACGACATGATAATGGATGGAAGAAAACGTGTGATCTGCTAGCAATCGCGGAGTGCGAAGACCCGGAGCCCACACCAGCCTGGGGTGGGTGCAGAGCTTGGAGGGGATGCACAGACAGCTGCCTGCTTTGCCCCTGGAAGGTCTCATCTTCAATGCACAGCAGGGACTGCTTGAGAGTGAGGGATGCTTTACATTCGCTTACCAAGTTGTGGCACTCTCATTCTGGAAAATGAGAACAGTTTGCATTTTTGTAAATTAGTGATGTCTCACATTTAACTGATGCCGCCTATAGGTCTTGACAGGGATCTTCCCGAGTGTCTGCTGGGACCAAGACAAGCAGCTTACCTGCAGGGGCTCCTTCCACTTAATGGTTAACTTCGGTTAACAGTGGCTTCTTCTATTGCCTCTGATTACTCCAGCTTTCACCCCTGCTCTCATTTTCCCCTCTCTCTGGACTTGCTTAGATTCAGGCAAATTGAAGTCCTTTATTCTGAGGATTACATTCCTCTAACTAGTTTGTATGTATAACTCCCTTCTCCTTGTGGGCCACTCTCCAAAGAAATTGTGAAATTCCACCATCTCTGTGAAACCTGTGTGGATAATTTCCTCCAATAGCTTAAATGTAGCAAAAGCCCAACACTCGCACAGAAAATCCAACATTAAAATGTATGCCTTAACGATAGGCGTGCTTTCTTCTTTGCCGCCTTCTCTCTTGATGCTGTGCGGCTAGGCCTTAATTTTAAATGCATATCTTGGATTTTATTCTACAAGAAAAGGAATGCATCTGTTTTCATTCCTCACTGTGATCAGCTTGGCTATGGGGCTTTAATGTGATCACAGTCCTGGGTTTGAACTCCACGAGGAAATGTTAAATTTGCTCTACCTTTTAGTCGGCCATTAAAGTTCTAACTATCCAGGTCCACAAAAGTCAATTTTCAGTTTTAAGGAAAAATGGATGAGAGTAAATATTACTAAAGCCATAGCTGAAAAAAAAATCACTTATGTTTTATGTCACACTGAAGATTGAATAAGGGGTTTGGAGGGGGTAATATGCCAATTCTAATGGTAGCATCCTTAATCTTGAGCACCACCAAAACTGAAAGACTTATGAACACTACCTGATGAGCATGGTAACTGTCAGGACAGACCTATGCAATGCAGTTGTGTGCAAGTTTTGGATTAGGGTTAGACTCTTGCCTGTTCCTCTTGGTGTTCATCAACCACTGCACAAAATCCTGAGCGCGCCTGGAGTCCAGGTACTTGCTGTAGTCACTGGTAAAGGTGCCCTGGGAATGGCGCTTGTCTTCGGTCATCAGATCGGTGTCATCAAGCAGGTTTGTCTGGGGAGCTGAGGATGACCTGTGAAGGCAAGGGGTGCAGTGTGAATCTCCTTCAGAAGCAGGCTCAATTGAGGAATGTCTTCCCTATAAAATACAGGACCCAGGAAGTAGAAAGAAAGATTCTAGAATGTTGGAGAAACCTGTCTATAGTTTGGAGAGGTCTGTTTGTCATCAGAATTTCATCATTTAAGGGCAACAGAATATATTCTTGTTCTGAATTCTAGTAACAGATCTCCCAAATGGCATTTTTTTTTTCTGGAATAGGACTTAAAAAGACTTTTATCAACTGATAAATATACCCATGATTATGCATACAACACAGCAAATCAGAGACTCAAACATTTTAAGAATAATGGGTAACAAATTATTTGGGTGGAACATTAACTTTCCAAGTACCTTTCCATACATGAGAACTAATTTAAGAACAGAATTCAGCTTGCTAGTTACATGATGGCAAATGGTGAAAAAGATTATCATAGTGGCTCAACGACAGGCAAGAAAAAGTCCATCTTCTATACACTGCATAGTCCATATACCAGTAGTCAACAGTTGGTTCATGCGATAGATTCGTGGATAAACCATTCTGTGTGGTTAGTACTCAGAAATAAGAGGCTGCTTCTATCTGTCAAGTTAGAAAGATCAAATACTAGGGAGGACATTGTGAGGATTAAGTTTACGCTGTTGAAGGGAGTGTGCATGTCCAGTAATTTTCTAGAAATTAAGTTGATATAATAGTCTAAAAGCAATAAGTTCCTTGTATCCCTGATGCAATAATTCTACTACTAGATTTTTCAGCTTCTGGAGACAATTAAAATAAAGGGAAAATGTTCGTAGATGTGTCAATTGTAGTCCTTTTTGTCAGAAAATCTGAGAGTTTCGTTTCTATTATTCAATAGAAAATGAACAGTTAAGTAAATATTGTATATTTATGATATAAAATAGCATGTAACTGTTAACTATAATGCATTAAATAGATATTTGTAATGAAATAAGAAAAACACAACAATATGCTGTAAGGAGAAAAAGCCTGATGAATATCCATAGAATCAGTTGAAAGTTACATAAAATATAGGAAAAGAGTACCTTATTGTTTAAACATGGCAGAATGTTTCCTGGAGAGTAAAATTCTGACTTTTTTTTTACATAGTTTTTGTATTTTACATAAATGAATATATATAATTTTTACAATTAACAGCAACAGTATTTTTTAAAAGGAGTAAAAAAGAGAAAATAATTGTTCTGAATAATGAAAAGCTACCATGCAGAGTGTGTGAGTAATGAATGAATGCATGCAAGCCATCCTTAAAGTTCCAAGAACTATGATTTACAACACATACTCTATACCTGAGGAATGTGCCTTGATCACAATGACCTTTTAAATTTGTCACACCGAAGGCTGTGGGAGAGTATTTATTCCAAACTACTGAGTCCCATCCTCAGTCATGGTTTTCAATGTCTTTATGTCAATTATAGCGCTCTCTGTCAGTCCAATTCTAAAGATGCAATACCTGGTTTTCTCGTCTGTATCTTGAAGAGAGCGTTGCCAGCTGCCATGGACCAGCATTATGAGCAATCCGGCCACAAAGTAAATGCTCTTCATTTTTACTGCCTGTTAGAACACAGAATGGGGTTGGAATTCAAGCACTCATGCTGACGGAGCCAGAAATTGAGATCTTATTTGACTGTGCACTTGCTACAAACAAAAATGTAAAACTAGCCTTATCAATTTTATTGATTGCATTTCCTGCTTTATTGCAAATTGTGGATTATATTTTCCCCCAGAATTTCTGAAGGCATAAAAAGGATAGAAACTGTACATTCTACCATTCAGCTTTTTCATTATTAGTATTAATGTAGGACAGCTCTGTTAATGATCAGAAGGCTCATTTCCAGACTTGAAATTAAAAATGTTCATGATAAACATTTAAAATAACTACTGTGTAATGATATGCTACATATGGTTAGCCTGAACAGCACCTTATCCATAATGCCACCCCTTCCACTATCAGTCTGGCTCTCAATTAATAGTCCTTCACTTCCAAGCATTTACATTATACTGCATTTCAACCATCTTAAAGCAGCCTCAGGCTACAACTTGGCATACCAGCTGTCGGTTCAGATGTATTATTCATTTATATTTTAAATAGTGTAACTTGGTCTAGACTTTGTAATTATAAAGCGGCCAACAGATTTGAGGTATTTTAGGGTGCTTTGACCTGTTCTAAATTAAAGGGAAAAATCATTTTAAAGACAAGCAATTTGCAACAAGAACTAATGTTTCTGGCAACTTGGAACAATCACAGCTAAGAAACTAAGAGATGACTATCATAAAGGAATTAGTGCTTGCTTCTGAAATCTTGGAAATGCCCAAGTTGTTCTTTATTTGGACTTAGTCCAGGGCATGTCATTCTTTGTTGGTGAAACCATAGACTTACTTGTGGGATACACTTGATTTCTTGCCCTCTTACCACCAGCAGATGTCCCACAAAGCCATAGGATGCCAAGAATGTGATGATGCAGTGTAGATGGGCAAGAGACCACCATGAGAACTGGGTAGAACGCCCCCACAGAGAAAACTCCTTTATTTCTGAATGGAAAACTCAAGTCCTGTTTGTCTTGGACTTCTCTGCTACTATGAAATCCAACTGTGTTTCTTTCAAGAAGCGGGGATTTCAATTTAAGTTTGTACTTATCCATAAATAATTTGAATGAGTATTTTTAGCAAAAGACATTTGGTTTGGAATACACATTTTACAAATATTATCATTTTAAACTATCAATCTTTTCTTTAACATCTGAGCTATATTTACTATCCTTCTCTGGCACTGAACCATGAAGACTGTAATACCTGCAGTAGTAACTATATTCTTTGAAATACTAGACCTTTGTAAAGTACATGATCAACTAGACAGAGAAAAATAATACATCTATGCTCGCTCATTCCTTCATTAATATTAAATGGGCAAATTGGTATTGTGCTATGTTTCAGTTTTATAAGTTGGGAAACTTTTTGGAGGCTTTGCCAATGTTTATAGGTGCTGTTTCCTGATTCTAAATCAGTCATAAGACGTTTGTTTTCAGAAAGATTTGTAAATTAAAGAGAGCAGTTTTTTATAGGATTGTGTCACTGTTGCAAAGTGTCTTGTATAAGACTGTCAACTTAGTGGTGAAATTCCTTCCAGACAAAACCCCTGGAGATTTTGTAATATCTTCCATCATGTTCCATGGAAGCAAATTTTAACTGCCATTGTGGATGCTGACGGACTATAAAACAATCACAAAGAGAAATTGTGAGCTCCTTCACAACCAATCAAATGAGTTCTATGGAAATAATGGATTGACTTAAACTCGTTTGTTTGTTTTTGAGTCTATGGAATTGTGAAACATGATCATATTAACCCATTCTTTGAATTCTATTGTTATAGAAGCAAAATAGTCATGTCATTTTAGTATCAAAATATTATTCAATAAGTAAAGGATTTCCAATTACTTCCATATCCCCACTGTGTAGCCTAAGGAGAGCCTGGAAGTTTATAAGAAATCACAAGCATCTATTCCAATTTAAGTGGAAGATAGAGTAACGACAGATTTTCTGAGCAGAAAGTCCTGTAAGGATTGATCTCAGACCTAGGAAAGAAGATATTTACATTATATCTCTAAGTACATTGCATTGTAGAACACATACGTGTTTTTAAAACTGATTAGCTCTTTTCATAAGACCTTATCATGTGTGGAAAAATCATTTACTCCATTGGGAATCTTTGTAAATTTACTCTCAATCTTTAAGAGCTTAAATACATGATTAGTTCAAATCATTTCTAAAAATGATTTGAAAGAAATTCATGAATATCAAAATCAGTTTTTACGTCAAGTTTATTTTTTGAATTACATTTTCTGTGAACTTTGTAAAGTACCCTCATGGATAACATCTAATTTTTTTTTAAAAAAAGAAATATACTGAAAGTTTCCCCCAGTGTATAGCCATTTTAGCTTTTATTTACTATACAGATTTGGTACATAACAGAGAATTATTAATCATTGGTTTTACTCAGTTCTATGAAAGAAATCCGCAAAACTAGATGATATTTCTTCTTTGCTCCAACTACGCTATGTCTTGTTTGCCAGGAACTGATCTCATGGACTTTGATTTTTCCATAGACTTATCACGGGTTTGAATTTTTGAAAGAGAGATATTGAATGTACTCTCCTGGAAAACCAGAGGTTTAATTGGTAAAGAGCAATTTTGTGTTACAGCCTGTCTAATGGACACATTTCTGCTGAATTTAAAAGACGCCTTCTGTTCAAAGTGGTATATACATCTATCAAATCCAAAGAAAAGAGATTTGTTTGTTAAAATGCTGCAACTTATTTTAGAATGCAGTTTTCATAACAATTAAGTCTGATAACAAGTTCATAAATTCCAATCTTTGTTTTCAATCCCATATCTTTGCATTGAACTATCTCTCCTACTCATCTTTGTGACTTGACTGTGGCAAAGTAAATGTAAATACATTTGATATTTTTATCATCTCAGTTGTGTCCCATCTATTATTAATAATGAAGTATAAGATGAAAAAACATTTTAATTCATAATATTTGCTTCATGAAAGATTCTAAACTGTCTGCAAAGCAGGATGTACAGTTTTAGGATCATCCAATGTTAGTCTTACCTTCTGAGAAACTGCCGTGCGGAGCAGAGCAGGTGGCGAGCGCGCAGGCCTCTTCAGAGACTTTGGGTGTGCTCCGTGCCCTGGGCGCTGCTGCTCTGCACCCAACTGCGGTCCTTTTATATACTCCCAGCTCTTCTTGGCCTCACAGAAATTACGCTGACAATATAAATTTCTCATCTGTAAATAATGGGTTTTGTTACAAATGATTTCCCTCGCCCACTCACTTTGCTCATCTGCATTCTCTGTGGGGTGGGGGGAGCGGACAGAAAAGACCCAGGAATTTTTTATTGACTCTTGTGTCTTTTCTTTTCCCATTGGAAATGGAAAGGGCAGTTTGGAAATTTGTTCAGGCATGAAAATCACTCAAATTCACTAATGTCAACTTTGATGTTGACGAACAAAGAACTTGAAATTAGATAGTCAGTAGCTAGCCCCGTTTTTAACATGGCCTCATTTGAGTCTTTCAGTTTGATTAAGTTTCATCAATTTAATAAGTGATCAACGATTAAATTTATAAGCATCTATTAAAAATAAGAAACCGGTCATTCAACACATTCTTAACAATTCTCTCATCTCCACTGTATGGAATTCATTTGTATTGTTTTGTGAGGAATTTTAAGGAGTGTCAGATGAAGAGAGCTAAACTGAACTTAAATATAGCAAGATGAGTATTAAACTTCAAACACAGGTAATGGTAACAAGACAGGATGTATTATTTATTTTTTTTTCTAATGCATATTTGAAAAGAGAATGAGGCAGTAGTTGCTAAAGAGTAAGATGTGGAGGACCGGATGCGGTAGCCTAGCTGCTAACATCCTCCTTTTGCGCATGCCGGGATCCCATCCAGCTCCCTGCTCGTGTTCTGGAAATGCAGTCAAGGGCAGCCCAAAGCCTTGGGACCCTGCACCCGTGTGGGAGACCTGGAGAAGGTTCCGGGCTTTGGATCAGCTCAGGTCCAGGCATGGCAGCTGTTTGGGGAGTGAATCAGTGGATGGAAGATCTTTCTCTCTGTCTTTCCTCCTCTCTGTATAGCTGACTTTCCAATAAAAGTCAATAAACCTTTTTTAAAAAGAATGAGATGTAAAGAAGATTGGCAAGATGAGTTGCATATTGTCACATTTATTGCCTTTTGTGACATGCCATACAGCCTATAGAATTTCTAAGACATGATTTTCAGCACTTTAGAGAGGCAGAAAGCTGTGAAATAATCTGGGCAGGCAGTGGAAGAACTAGTGCCAGCAGAGTTAGCTTTTAATCTTACCACTGTTGACAGGCAGTGTGACCTTGGTCAAGTAATATTCTTTCTGTGTCTTTGTCTCCTGATTTGTAACTGAAGGGAGTGGTTGAGTGTCTCTTCCAAAACTAAAGTCAAAACAACACCATCTTTTCTAAATAGATCCCACTGTATGATGTACTTTGTGACTTTTATGAAAGTAAATGATAGTGGCAACTAGAAAAACCTTTAACTATTGTATAAACAGCTGCTTAAAGGCCGTGCATCAGTTTGGCATCAAATTGGGGAAGTGTACTGGGGGAGGTTTGTGCTTACAGATTACATAAAGGTCTTGCTGAGACTTTTCTAGAAATGCAGAATCTTATGAATCTTAATTTTTGAATCATTTTTAAATCATAATCTGCGTTGTATTATTATCCCTCGGCAACTCTGATACATATTAAAATTTCTGAACCTTGTCTAAATGAAACACCTCACTTTACTGCTTGCAAGTGTCTTGATCTGAGGATGCTTCTTGGCACTGTCAGCAGAGGGCGTGAGAGAGCAGAGAAAGGTGTCAAGCCTTAGGTTGTCCTGGAGTTCACACACATAATTAAGGCTTAAAGCTTGCCTTAGGCTAATATACGATTAAATCATTCAGTCTTTTGCTTATGATCTTAAAAAACGTATCAATTGTGCATATTTTACCTACCATTTTGGGATAT